ACTGCTACCTCCGCGAACCGACCACGGATAAGCGGGAGAAGATGGATGGAGATGGGTATGTTTTGGTGAACAGGAGACCCTTATTTTACTGTTTTAATGGCTTATCAAGAACTCAAACACAACATCTTGGTGTCATTCTGGACAGCTCCCTCTCATCTGCACCCCACATAAAAAACATCACCCGTATTTATCATAATAAATATATTAAAACCTTTCCTGAGAATATGTTATGAATTGTAAGGTGTCCTTGGGTGCTTTGAAAGGCGCCCCTAAATAGAATGAATTATCATTATTATTTATTATCTGAAACGATGTAATAACTTTTAAAACTTTTTCCAGTCACTTGCCCCATGCATTCAGCAGCAGCAGGCCATTCACTTTGATTTGATCCCGTTATGAAATGTCATAATTTCGACNAGGGGGGTCACTCAAAGTTTGAGGGAAACAGGATTTTTTTTCTTTTTTTAAAGTTACATTTTTTTTTAACATTTTTTTTAGATGCATATCTATCAATCTATGTGTCCTTTGATGCCAATCTTTTCATATTTTTTGTTTTTGAATCACACGACCGTCCTTCAAGCCGATCAGAATCGAGCTGCCGCTACTGAGAGTGAAAATCTGCTCAGCTTTTGGAGCAAGTGAGGGCTAGTGAATTTTTCGCTCTGCAGCTGGATGAGAGCACGGATGTAGCAAATGTCGCAGAATTGCTTGCATACATCAGATTTATTCCTCGTTGGTGTGGGCGTGTGTTCAGATGGGGCAGTGGGGCTATGACAGGCAAAGAAAGCGGAGTGACAGCTATGATCAGGCAGAAGGCCCCAAATGTAGTGGCAACGCACTGCATGTTCCATCGGGAGGCACTTGTACACATCATTTAAAAAAAAAATTGCAACAGGGGGGTCCCCGCCAGAGGATAATGCTATATGGGGGTCCTTGGCATGGCAAAGTTTGGGAACCCCTGCCCTAGCACACTGCTTACTGCATGGCTCTTGAGACCACACCCCCTACAGGCACTCAACATTCCTGTGTTCATTCTTCAATGAAACAAATAATTGCTCAATAAAATAATTAAAACTTGTTCTGTTCTACTTACAAAAAATGTAATTAAATAAAAAAATCAGTTGAACTGTCATGTTTTTTGTTTAATTTTGCATCTAATATTTCCAAAATTCCCCAGCTTAACTTCCCATGGAAACTTTCCGGAAATTTACCGGAAATGTTCCGCCCCTTTGCAACCCTATGAGTTACACATTTGTATAAGCTTACCACATTTAGTCCATAAATGGAGACGTTTCTAACAAGACGTTGTCACAGCCTAAAGTATAAACTTACTCCATCCTTTTTTTGTGGTTCATGTGTATGTTATGTCCATACACTGTGTCCCAGCTGTGCATTTGTCTATTTTTAAAGAACATGTCATATCAAAAGAATTGTAATGCCTCTGCTTATATATATTGAATTGTTAAGGAAGAAAGATGCTTTTACATCTTTCTGTGGTAGTTTAGTCTGCTGCTCGTTAGATGATACTAACTCCTCAAGTGTTGTCCTTCAGATCAAACAAAGATCTAAACTGTTTCACTTGGTTTTTAATGGTACGTTTTTGTTCTCCACAGTATGAGAAGGTGCGTATCTACCGCATGGACGGCTCGTACCGCTCTGTGGAGCTGAAGCACGGCAACAACACCACGGTGCAGCAGATCATGGAAGGCATGCGTCTCTCACAGGACACACAGCAGTACTTCACCATCTGGATCTGCTCCGAGAACCTCCGTGAGTTCAATCTTAAGACACGAATGTGATGAAATTGCTTGTAAATTGATCCTCTCGCTATAAAACCAGCTAAGATCTCTCAGTGATTGTGCTCTTATGTTAAATGGCTGTTTGTTTTTCATGTATTGTGTCTTGATATGTGTCTATGTTGATGTTACACATGGAGCTGCTGTGATGCAAGTCACATTTCAGACTTGATCTGACCATTAAGGTATTACAGCATCGTAAGACCTGCTCAGTCAACTTCATAGGATTTTATCAATAAAAAAGTTGGAAAAATGTGATCAAATGTATTTGGTTTTGATTTAGGGACAATAGTATTACAATAATAAATATTATGTCATCATTGCAACAAAAACAATTTCAGTAACATTGGTGTACATTGTGTGTCAGACCTGCAGCTGAAGCCTTACCACAAGCCCCTGCAGCACCTGAGGATCTGGACGGAGATCGTGACGGAACTGACGGTGCTGGATCCTCAGAGGGAAACGCCTCAGCTCTTCCTCCGCAGAGACGTCAGGCTGCCTCTGGATGTCGAGAAAAAGATAGAGGACCCTCTGGCCATCCTCATTCTGTTCGACGAGGCCCGCCACAGCCTCTTGAAGGGCTTCTTTACTGCGCCCGACAGCAAGCTCATCACACTGGCCAGCCTCCTCCTGCAGATCATCTACGGCAGCTATGAGAGCAAGAAGCACAAGCAAGGATTCCTCAAGTAAAATATAATTTCTAATGCTTTACAACATTTTGCACTGACCTCTTAAATGAACCTTGTTGTCTGTGATATGCCACACAACCATCTTCAGTTGTTGTGTACAGTAAAAAGATGCATTTCTCCCCAACAGCGAGGAAAACCTGAAATCAATTGTGCCGATATCCAAAGTGAAAAGCAAGGCGTACCACTGGACCAACAGGATTCTTCATGAGTACAAAGTACGCTGGGAGTTTTCATTGTACGTTTTCCTCTCCATCTTTAAATGAAATCCACCTGCTTCACTGACAGGCTGTTCTCTCCCTCTCCCACAGGCGCTGAGCACCAGTGAGGGGGTGAGTAAAGAGATGCACCACCTGCAGCGGCTCTTCCTGCAGAACTGCTGGGACATCCCCACCTACGGAGCGGCCTTCTTCACGGGCCAGGTCTACACCAAGGCCAGCGCCAGCAACCACAAAGTGATCCGCGTCTACGTCGGGATCAACACCAAGGGGCTGCACCTCATGAATATGGAGACAAAGGTGTTGCCATGTTTTATTCTATGTTTTAAACACCAGATGTTAGCTACAGTTTAGCTGATTGGACAGTTTTATGTTTTTGTAAGTGGTGAAAACAAGATTAACTTGTCTCCACTTAATCCTCAGACACACCAATGGAACAATCAGTAATAACTAATGCCAGGCAGCAAAGAATTGTTTAAACAAACATAAATTAGTATTTAAAAAAAGTATTCAAAATACATCAAGACTATCTCCATTTGGTGCTGCCAGATAACATTGAGTCCTGTTTTGAATATTGCACTTTATTTAAAACATTTTATCAGTATTATTTTAGCTAATAATTGTACCTATTTATTTAAACATAATACAGCTTAAATTGTAAGTTTAGATATGTGGAATAAGATATACTTTTTTAAGGGTAATTGAAAAACAAAAGGGGAAAACATAATGTAAAAAGGGTTTTATTTAATACGTTTGCAATCATTTTTTGATAGCTTTTTGGTGTTTTGATTGAACATTTGCTGTAATCATGGCTGTAATCTTTCTCTTTTTGCATGCTCAGTATGATAGTTTGTTAAACCTGAACACACTGCTTCAGTAGCAAAATAATTTCCTAAGTTGGGATCAATAAAGTATCTATCTATCTACCTCTGCCCTCCCAGGTCCTTCTCATCAGTTTGGAGTACAGCACATTCATGTGGCAGCTCGGACACGCTGACCAGTACTTCCAGATACACAGCGGGGACAATAAGATGAACTTCATTGTGCACACAAAACAGGTAACTGCTAAAGGACGTCAAGCTAAAACTAAGTAAATGGTTCAAGGTTGTTTTTAAAATATAGTATTCAAATAATGTCTGAATAACCCGTTCTCCAGTTCTCAATTATGTTTATCATTTTCTTGCAGGCTGGCCTTATTGTGAAGCTTTTGATGAAGCTGAGTGGACAGATGACATCAAATGATAAAAGCGTTTTGGACAAATATGCCTATGGCTGAAAAAGTGTTTAGGAAACCACAGCTGCCAAATATCAAAGTGCAAGTTTCTCTTACTGACTTACATTTGACTGCAATATGTTGGCCTTTTCACAATGCCTCGTTATGTATATTATGCTTACTGATATTTTTCACAACCTCACATTGTGTATTTTTGACCATTCATATATTTGGAGTGCATGTAAATATGTTTATTTAATGTTTTCTTTTAATAAACCGATGTATGAATGACGATGTGTTCGGTTTTGTGCTGAAAACTCTGAACCACAAAGTGTGCTTTATTCAAATAATAGATGGTATAGAATAGGCTGATGTAAATTGTAAAATTATATGTTCATGAAAATAGTTTTAAAGTGATGGAAGTTGGTGGTGTTGTGTGGAGTGTGGAGACTATAAAGAAACCACTTGAAGTCCTCAACATGACTAATAGCTTGATGCAACAATGAAACAAACTGATTAATGTGCATGAAGAAAAAAAACTAAATATTACAGGTTAATAACGTCTAAAAAAAGACCCAAACTTAACTTTATAATTTTAAGCCAATTTTAAGTCATCCTTATTGATGAGCCTCTAACACACTACCAGTTGGCAGCAAACTGCTGGCTTATTTTCCACAATAAATAATAAATGTCTAAGTGCATATTATATTTCCGCACCTCTCTTGGTTGCCGACACTAACCTTTTTCATTATGTAACGTGTTTTGAGGGAAACGTCAACGTTTAAATTCTAATTTAACTAGTTTGATTTGTATGCTATCCTGGCTCCAAAATGGTGGAATGAGCTCCCCATTGAAATCAGGACAGCAGATAGCTTGCACATCTTCCGGAGCAGACTGAAAACTCATCTCTTTCGACTCCACTTCGAGCGATATAATTACTAACAAAGAACTGCTAACAGAGCACTTATATACTAATAAAGGACTGGCTTATCTATAGCCAGTTGAGTAGCACTTGAAATGTTTGGCTCTATGAAATCTGATGTATTTATATGATTCTGTTTTCTTCAAGGTTGTATCTTCCTGGTCGAATGTATTTACTGTCGCTTTGGATAAAAGCTTCAGCTAAATGCAATGTAATGTAATGTCTGGGCATCCTATCAATCGATGGCGCAGAGCTTGTTCGTCCCGCTGGAGTGACATCATATAGCCAGACATCGGTTCAGGTGCCGGCAGCCAATCAAAGCGCGGCTGCTTGACGGACACGCGGTCAGCAGCCAACAGAAAGCCGCTGTTGGTCAGGCGGGGGCGGGGCGGCTATTGACAGGTAGAGAGAAGCCGAAACAATATAGACGATTAACATCAGATGAACTGGACGTTTATCCGGCTTGGGAACTTTGCATAGGTAGACGTTTATTCCCTCTAGTTTTAGTGGACCAGAGGAAGGAGTAAACATGTCTGTTCAATTTTATGAAATGGGCAGTAGGCTGTTCGGGGACACTGTTGGGAAAGTGAGCGACAACCTGACCTCCGTGGTGCTGGCTGCTTCTGTAATCACTCTCGCTCTGGGATATATTACTAAAATGCTGCTCAAAGAGTCTCCAGACAGTGATCTGGTAAGTAGGAAGAAGGAAAAGTCAGTGCCTTAAATTGTTGTTGAAATTCCCTGTACGCATGTATTAATCATCCACTGTTATCATGTTTCCTTTTGCAGAAATACCCACCTTACATTCCCTCCAGCATCCCCTTCCTGGGTCATGCTATTGCATTTGGAAAAAGTCCCATTGAATTTCTTGAAAATGCATATGAAAAAGTAAGTATTGGAGTAGAATAGAAATTATTAGTACATCACTCTGTTTACATATTAGATTCATTGCTGTCTAGAAATTCACTGTCACTGTTCCAACTTTATAAGTCTTAATATTGGCAGTTTTTCCGTGATATTCAACTAAATATTTGTAGGTTTGGGACTGTTGGGGCAGACAAAACCAAGCAATTTCAATATGTCCAAAAGGCTAACACACTGTAAACCAGATCATGATCTTACTGGATAAATGTTTAAATATGTTAGATGCAGCTCCATGCACATAATATGTTTTAGTCTTGACTTTATCTTATGTCCCCCTCCCATACACTGTGATTTGCCCACGTACACACTTGACCTTTCCACCTTGTTCAACTGCCTACAAAATGTCTAATTCTGATATCAGTTGTATTGTTTATGGCAAGCAAATAAAATAAGTGATTAAAACAATTTAAAAAAGTCCTAAAGACCTAAAAAAAAAAAAGCAAAGATTATCCATAGTTAAATAAAACAACACTAGAGGAATTAGATTGACTTGCGGCCCCTCATTTTTAGTTGGTCCCGACTCCCCAGCACTGTTTTAACCCCTGTGTCTCTGCTGTCCCCCCTCAGTACGGCCCTGTGTTCAGCTTCACCATGGTGGGGAGTACCTTCACTTACCTGCTGGGCAGTGAAGCTGCCACACTGATGTTCAACAGCAAGAATGAGGACCTGAATGCTGAGGACGTTTATTCCAGACTGACCACTCCAGTGTTTGGCAAAGGAGTAGCCTACGACGTGCCCAACCATGTGAGTGGAACCACATTCATTTACACATTAGAAAAGAACATTATGAATTCTGGTGAATTGATAAGATCCAGGAAAGTAGATTTGCAGATACAATTCCCATTCTCTTTAATATTTTGCAGATCTTTCTGGAACAAAAGAAGATGTTGAAGACCGGACTGAACATTGCTCATTTTAAGGAACATGTGAAAATCATCGAAGCAGAGACCATCGAGTATTTTCAGAGATGGGGAGACAGCGGGGAGAAAAGTAAGATCCTTCACAAATACATGTATATTAGGAAAGTAACAAGTGACAGACTTATTTTGGAGTCCAAAACAGCAGAACCTAATGCAAGCAGGAAAATGGTTTCGTAGTAATATGAAATCATACATTTTAACCGATTGTCAGTGGGATTTCTTTGGGTTGTTGCTGTTTGTGGTTCCTAATGAATACACGTTTGGCCTGTTTCAGACCTGTTCGAGGCCTTGTCTGAGCTGATCATTCTGACGGCCAGCAGCTGCCTGCATGGGAAGGAGATCCGCAGCATGATGAATGAGCACGTGGCTCAGCTCTATGCAGACCTGGACGGAGGATTCAGCCACGCTGCCTGGCTGCTGCCCGGCTGGCTGCCCCTGCCCAGCTTCAGGTACGACTGCTGTTCATGAATAAAGATTAGCATATAACAATCCAAAATAATCCAAAACACTGGATTAGTCCATTCAAAGAAAGAAGAGAACAACACATACATAAGACACCTGATTGAACTTGACCTCAGAAGTATAAACTTTCTAGTATATGTACAAATAATAACACAAATATAACCTCTTTTTCTTTTAGGAAGAGGGACCATGCTCACAGAGAGATCAAGAACATTTTTTCCAAGGTGACTCAGAAGCGCAGGCAATCCGGAGAGAAAGTGGACGACATCCTGCAGACCCTCATCGATGCCACCTACAAGTAAGAGAGCTTCTAGAAAGAATTACAGCATGGTTTCAATTCAGAGCTCATACGACTGGATCACCTTTTTGCCTTGGCGGATCTAAGTGTATGTCTAAAAATACTTTTTAAGATAGATATTTAATTTGTATCCCGTTCACCATGACTCTTTTCTCAGGCAGAATGGTAGAACTTTTTCTAATTTTAGAGATGCCTGTGATCCTTAATGACTGCATCTAAATCAGAGGGTTCTCATTAAAAAACATAAACGCTTATATGTTTAACATCGTGAAATCCACTACACTTACTTCTATATTCTATTTCAGTTTAAATACAAGAGGTAACTTAGCTGAGGATCCCTCAGAGATGTTACTTCTGGTAAACTACATTATGTTTTGAAAATGCAGCTGGGCTTATAAAGAAAGTGATATCGGAGAGTTAGGAGTTGCTAACATTACCATCGGAGCAAATCACCAAAAGGTATTGGGAAAGCTCTTTGCTAAAACTTTTCAAATATGATTTTCTAACCCTTGAATCTGTTCCCCTGTCAGAGACGGACGCCCCTTGAACGATAGCGAGATTGCGGGGATGCTGATTGGTCTGCTCCTGGCGGGGCAGCACACCTCCTCCACCACCAGCGCCTGGATGGGCTTCTTCATGGCCAGAGACAAAGCTCTGCAGGAGAAATGCTACGCCGAGCAGAAGGCCGTGTGCGGAGAAGACCTGCCTGCTCTCGACCTTGATCAGGTACAAAAAGGCTGATTGTGCAGTAGTCATTTTATTTACATTAAAAACGTTTTGCATCTTGTTTCTAGTTTAGCGCTTTCTGCCCCATTGTGTCCACTGAGTGACATAGCACGAGGTGGTGCTGCTTTTCCTGGGTGTAATTAATAACACACTTATACATGTGTGATGTTGTATAAACCACAACACAGTTTTCAGGCTACTGCTCTTAAATGTAATATACTGTAGTTAAAAAGAACTAATAATAATTAACTGCATCAAGATCAATATCACATTTTGTTAAAGAAAATAAATCGAAAGTCACAAAATGTCTGTTTTTGACACAGATTGAGTAACTAGAAGTGGTTTTTCTCGTATTCTTGAGTTCGTTAATTAGTCAATCTTAATATTTTTCCTGTTGTTGTCCTCAGCTGAAAGACCTCAGCCTGTTGGAGCGCTGTTTGAAGGAGACCCTGCGTCTGCGCCCGCCAATCATGACCATGATGAGGATGGCCCGCTCTCTTCAGGTAAGAACTACACCGTTTGTTGGTTTTGTTATTTCTTTATATTACATAACATGATGGTATCTCTGTAATTCAATATGCATGTTTTTTTCCTTTCTCTTAGACTGCAGCAGGATACACCATCCCTGTGGGACACCAGGTGTGCGTCTCCCCGACCGTCAACCAGCGTCTGCAGGACACCTGGGACAAGAGGATGGAGTTCAGCCCCGACCGCTACCTCAACGACAACCCCGCAGCGGGGGAGAAGTTCGCCTACGTGCCCTTCGGAGCTGGTATGAGAAAATCTATCATGTTCATGAAAGAAGTTTGTCTCATTTGTCAATTATGTACCTGTAATTCAGTTTTCTGTCTGAGCTGTGGATTTAAATAAAATCATGTACAACACCTGCTTATAACCTCACAAGAAAATCTAAACTTCTCTGTCTGCTCTTCAGGCCGCCATCGCTGCATCGGGGAGAACTTTGCTTACGTCCAGATCAAAACCATCTGGTCTACTTTACTGCGCATGTACGACTTTGACCTGGTGGATGGATATTTCC